AAGCCTTTGACTGTCTGCGTCCAGACATCCTTCCCACTCAGAAATAAGGAATGGTTGAGAATTGAGTGTACTTGTCAAACAATAAGCCACTGAAAGCCAAAAATATGGCAGTATGATATCTTACCACTGTATTACAATATTTGCACTGATGTGTACTAACATTGATTTGCAAAAACACCAGTTTGTAGTGAAAACATAAGAACACAAGCTAAGGTTATCCGACTGACTTTCACATAAACTACAGAATTCCCATTGATCTACTTTATTTAGTAGTTTATTAAAAAGAAAGTTATTAAAAAGTTTATTAAAAAGAACTATATTACATTTTTATACACATAACTTAAATGTTCATGATTGGATAATTAATTTCCCTAAATTCTTCATAGTAATGGTTGACTTTATAACTGCATTTATGTTATATGACTGATTGGAGCATTTATACAAATAAAAAGAACTATTAACTAATAGAAAAGCATTCTGTTCAGCTGAAAAATATTTTTAAAACACTGATGACTAAGTACATAAATAATTCAAGAGGTTCCTTGTATCATCTCTACTGAAGCATAGTCGCCATGGAAAGCCTCAATCCAAATGGTGAAAATACAGCAAAGTTATAAACAGCAGAAAATACACTGAAACATAGAATTTGCTACTTAAATGTTTCTATGAAAAAATCAAGAAACCCAGAACTGTACTACAATCCAGTGGTGATGCAGAGGGGGTGCATGTGAACCCCCTGAGAGCGCCAATGCACCCCAGGACTTGCCGTGCTTGCCGCTTAGGCGATGGGCGGAGGGGCAGGCGGGAGTGCTCATGCCTCCCCTGCAAGCGCCGGCTCAGGAGTGGAGCACCGTTGAGCTCCCAAAAGCGGCTGCAGCTGGAGTGATTGGCCACAGCCACTCCCAAAGCGGCTGCAGCCACTTCCAGAAGCAGCCACAGCCACTTCCAGAAGCGGCTGCAGTGACTGGCTAGAGCGATCGGCTGCAGGGGGAACCCCCCCCAGCCACTTGGGAGGCACGTGCCCCCCTGACTAAGGCGGCACCAGTTGTCCATGCTACAACCTGAACAAAATTATTCAAACATGAGAGGGTAGAAAAAAGTGCATATGACATGCATGCCACTTTTTGTTTTCCAGAGCAAATTGCTGGTTAAAATGTCACCTTTCACTGTGTACATTTAGGCTAGGGACAGATGTTTAAAAAGCCTAAGCCTGAATTGATTCAATCTTTGCAAGTTAGTCTAACTTGG